GCATGGAGGCAGAGGAGAAATTATTACCCAGGAGCAAAAGAAACAATGGGAAGAGCAGAGTGAGTCATGGTTTACCCAGATGTGTAGAGAAGACAAAAGATAAATATACTGGATCATGGAAACTACACAAGATAAAGAGGTTATGAAAATAAGGAAATGAGCAGAACCAGACAAAAACATACGTAAGAAGAGAGACTCAACGATAATCAGAGAATAACACAACAAGTCAAACCTGACCCAAAGTTGTTAAAAAGCAACATTAAGAAGATTATTATTATTATAATCACGGGAGCACTAAACCCGTAGGATTATACAGCGCATGTGAGGGGATGGAAGGTATTCAGGCTCAATTCAGGGAACTGGAGCACAGATCCAATTCCCTAGATCAAGAGCCCCTCACCAGCATCAAGGAACCTCCCTTGAGGGGAACATTAAGAAGAGAACAACAGAAAAGAAGGGGATATGATAACAACGTACTAAATACTGTAAGGAACTGACAGGATGGACAGGAACACTCCTCGGGAGGCGGGAAAGAGGATCACAATGGCACAGTTAGAAGTTGAAAACAAAGACGATTCACAGGGATGTTAGGAAGTATTTATTTAGCATTAGAGTAGAGAGGAAGTGGAACGACCTGCAGAACAGAGAGAGGCAGGATCCACACACAGCTTTATGAAGAGATACGGTAATGCTGTCGAGGCCAGGAGAGTGAACACAGTAACGACTAGCAAAGAGGCGGGGCCAGGAGCTCTGAATCAACTCCTGCAACCACACATAGGTGAGCACAGCCACATTTACTCAAATATACAAATACATACAAGCACTCATACACACTCATACACACTCATACACACTCATACACTCATATACACTCACACAAACATACAAAGTAGTGTCTGGATCCTGAAGGGTTCTTGATCCAGGGAACTAAACCCAGCCTTCAATTCCTGGAATCGAACACTGTATGGCCCCCAGGAATTTAGCGCTTTCCCCATTATTATAATAGTTCTCTCTATATATATATATAGATATTAAAGCAGTGTCTCTCTCTCTCTCTCTCTCTCTCTCTCTCTCTCTCTCTCTCTCTCTCTAGAGAGCGATGACAGGAAGGAAAGTCGGGCAGGAAGAAAGAAGCAGGTGACCTTACTCGACCTGCGAGAGAGAGAGAGAGAGAGAGAGAGAGACTGAGTAATATTCTCTAGGATCTCTCAAGAGAGCTACGGCACTCTCCTCCCTTCCCTCCTTCCTTCCTTCCTTCCGTCTTGACCTCGTCTTCCCTTGCTCCTTCTCACCTCTTCCTCACTTCGTCCCTCCCCCCTGCTGAGCGGTCACGTCAGATGTACATGGAGGTTCTGTATATAGTACTGTACGTGGGAATAGTGCACGTGGGAGCACCGTACGTAGTAATATTGTACGTGGGAGCACTGTACGTGGGAGCACTGCACATGGAAGCACTATACGTGGGATTACTGTACGTGGGAGCACTGTACGTGGGAGTACTGTACGTGGGAGTACCGTACGTGGGAGTACTGTACGTGGGAGTACCGTACGTGGCTTCGACAACTACTACTACTACATCCTGTATTATTATTGACGTGTGTAGCTCAGTTTGACTTCAGTTTGCCGCAGCGCAGAATCCAGTCGAGTATTTTACTAGCAAAGTGTTTGTCCAGATAGTACTCAACTTACTAGTACTCGCAACACTTTCACTGGATACTTCCTTTCATTCTCAGAAAATTCCAGTTTGTAGTTTTTTTTTACACGCGTTTGTGTTGCATCTCTTGCCTTGAAGTTTCACTATTTATTTGAGTTACTGACACATTCAGTATTTTAAATAAGTGAGATTTTCCTGTAGTCTCTGTTTCCTTCTCCAGTGATGGTGCCAGCCTGGTGGCTCTCCTCTGTACCCTCTACAGTGATGGTACCAGCTTGGTGGTTCTTCTCTGTACCCTCTACAGTGATGGTGCCAGTTTGGTGGCTCTCCTCTGTACCCTCTACAGTGATGGTGCCAGCTTGGTGGTTCTTCTCTGTACCCTCTCCAGTGATGGTACCAGCTTGGTGGCTCTTCTCTGTACCCTCTACAGTGATGGTACCAGCTTGGTGGTTCTTCTCTGTACCTTCTACAGAGATGGTACCAGCTTGGTGGTTCTTCTCTGTACCCTCTACAGTGATGGTACCAGCTTGGTGGTTCTTCTCTGTACCCTCTCCAGTGATGGTACCAGCTTGGTGGCTCTTCTCTGTACCCTCTCCAGTGATGGTACCAGCTTGGTGACTCTCCTCTGTACCCTCTCCAGTGATGGTACCAGCTTGGTGGCTCTTCTCTGTACCCTCTCCAGTGATGGTACCAGCTTGGTGGCTCTTCTCTGTACCCTCTACAGTGATGGTACCAGCTTTGTGGCTCTTCTCTGTACCCTCTACAGTGATGGTACCAGCTTGGTGGCTCTTCTCTGTACCCTCTACAGTGATGGTACCAGCTTGGTGGCTCTTCTCTGTACCCTCTAGTGATGGTACCAGCTTGGTGGCTCTTCTCTGTACCCTCTACAGTCTACAGTGATGGTGCCAGCTTGGTGGTTCTTCTCTGTACCCTCTACAGTGATGGTACCAGCTTGGTGGCTCTTCTCTGTACCCTCTCCAGTGATGATACCAGCTTGGTGGCTCTTCTCTGTACCCTCTCCAGTGATGGTACCAGCTTGGTGGCTCTCCTCTGTACCCTCTCCAGTGATGGTACCAGCTTGGTGGCTCTTCTCTGTACCCTCTACAGTGATGGTACCAGCTTGGTGGCTCTCCTCTGTACCCTCTACAGTGATTATACCAGCTTGGTGGCTCTCCTCTGTACCCTCTACAGTGATGGTACCAGCTTGGTGGTTCTTCTCTGTACCCTCTCCAGTGATGGTACCAGCTTGGTGTTTCTTCTCTGTACCCTCTCCAGTGATGGTACCAGCTTGGTGGTTCGTCTCTGTACACTCTCCAGTGATGGAACCAGCTTGATGGTTCTTCTCTGTACCCTCTCCAGTGATGGTACCAGCTTGGTTCTTCTCTGTACCCTCTCCAGTGATGGTACCAGCTTGGTGGCTCTTCTCTGTACCCTGTACAGTGATGGTACCAGCTTGGTGGCTCTTCTCTGTACCCTCTCCAGTGATGGTACCAGCTTGGTGGCTCTTCTCTGTACCCTCTCCAGTGATGGTACCAGCTTGGTTGCTCTTCTCTGTACCCTCTACAATGATGGTACCAGCTTGGTGGTTCTTCTCTGTACCCTCTCCAGTGATGGTACCAGCTTGGTGGCTCTTCTCTGTACCCTCTACAGTGATGGTACCAGCTTGGTGGCTCTTCTCTGTACCCTCTACAGTGATGGTACCAGCTTGGTGGTTCTTCTCTGTACCCTCTCCAGTGATGGTACCAGCTTGGTGGCTCTTCTCTGTACCCTCTACAGTGATGGTACCAGCTTGGTGGCTCTTCTCTGTACCCTCTACAGTGATGGTACCAGCTTGGTGGTTCTTCTCTGTACCCTCTACAGTGATAGTACCAGCTTGGTGGCTCTTCTCTGTACCCTCTCCAGTGATGGTACCAGCTTGGTGGCTCTTCTCTGTACCCTCTCCAGTGATGGTACCAGCTTGGCGGCTCTTCTCTGTACCCTCTCCAGTGATGGTGCCAGCTTGGTGGCTCTTCTCTGTACCCTCTCCAGTGATGGTGCCAGCTTGGTGGCTCTTCTCTGTACCCTCTCCAGTGATGGTACCAGCTTGGTGGCTCTCCTCTGTGTCCTCTCCAGTGATGGTACCAACTTAGTGGCTCTTCTCTGTTTCCTTCTCCAGTGACGGTACCAGCTTGGTGGCTCTTCTCTGTACCTTCTCCAGTGATGGTGCCAGCTTGGTGGCTCTCCTCTGTACCCTCCCCAGTGATGGTACCAAATTAGTGGCTCTTCTCTGTTTCCTTCTCCAGTGATGGTACCAGCTTGGTGGCTCTTCTCTGTACCCTCTCCAGTGATGGTACCAGCTTGGTGGCTCTTCTCGGTACCCTCTCCAGTGATGGTACCAACTTGGTGGCTCTTCTCTGTACCCTCTCCAGTGATGGTACCAGCTTGGTGGCTCTTCTCTGTACCCTCTCCAGTGATGGTACCAGCTTGGTGGCTCTTCTCGGTACCCTCTCCAGTGATGGTACCAACTTGGTGGCTCTTCTCTGTACCCTCTCCAGTGATGGTACCAGCTTGGTGGCTCTTCTCTGTACCCTCTACAGTGATGGTGACAGCTTGTAACTGCTCCCCTGCCCTGCTAATAGTACTCAGCAGTAACTGTTCCCTTGCCCTGCTAATAGTACTCAGCAGTAACTGCTCCCCTGCCCTGCTAATAGTACTCAGCAGTAACTGCTCCCCTGCCCTGCTAATAGTACTCAGCAGTAACTGTTCCCCTGCCCTGCTAATAGTACTCAGCAGTAACTGTTCCCCTGCCCTGCTAATAGTACTCAGCAGTAACTGTTCCCCTGCCCTGCTAATAGTACTCAGCAGTAACTGCTCCCCTGCGCTGCTAATAGTACTCAGCAGTAACTGCTCCCTTGCTCTGCTGACAGTACTCAGCAGTAACTGCTCCCCTGCTCTGCTAACAGTACTCAGCAGTAACTGTTCCCCTGCCCTGCTAACAGTACTCAGCAGTAACTGCTCTCCTGCCCTGCTGACAGTACTCAGCAGTAACTGTTCTCCTGCCCTGCTAACAGTACTCAGCAGTAACTGCTCTCCTGCCCTGCTGACAGTACTCAGCAGTAACTGCTCCCCTGCTCTGCTAACAGTACTCAGCAGTAACTGTTCTCCTGCCCTGCTAACAGTACTCAGCAGTAACTGTTCTCCTGCCCTGGTAACAGTACTCAGCAGTAACTGTTCTCCTGCCCTGCTAACAGTACTCAGCAGTAACTGCTCTCCTGTCTTGCTAACAGTACTCAGCAGTAACTGCTCTCCTGTCTTGCTAACAGTACTCAGTAGTACCTACCCTACAAACAGAACCAGCAGTACTCACTCTCGCTGCAGGAAGCGCTGGGAAGAACCACCTTGGGTGCCTGAGTGACGGGCGCAGCAGGTGCTGGAGTGTTGGCCTGGGGTCGGCTCCTAGCCGGCTTCTCCTCACCAAAAGTGTTGTCCCGACGGTTGCTGGTTGAGAGTCTCCCGCCGATCTTGCGGCCCTGGGAGGCCGAGGCCCAAAGGAGAATGAACATTATTTTCAAGTCCTTACATAACATGCATCAGACTGCTGAAGTTGACGTCTGTAACATGGTTAAGTTAGGGCTGCATGAAGCTGTGTATTCCAAGTGTATACTGGCTTGGTGTATGCTGTATACCCTGGTGTTCCATGACGTCTGTAATGTGGTTAAATTACTGCTCTATTTAGCTTATAACACTACTTATAACACTACTTATAACACGAGACACTCAAGTAACACTCAACACAAGCTACTTATAACACTAGACACACAAGTACCTCAACTTAAGCCACTTACAACACTAGACACTCAAGTAACACTCAACACAAGCTACTTATAACACTAGACACACAAGTACCTCAACTTAAGCCACTTACAACACTAGACACTCAAGTAACACTCAACACAAGCCACTTACAACACAAGACACACAACACAACCACTTGACCAATGCAACACATGACACACAACACTAGTACACACAAGACACTAGCCACTTACAACACAAGACACACACATAAGCCACTTATAAACAAGGAACACAACAAGCACTTATAACACTAGAACACAACACAAGCCACTTACACACTAGACACACACACAAGCCTTACAACACTAGACACACAACACAAGCCACTTACAACACAAGACAACAACACAAGCCACTCAAAACTAGACACAACACAAGCCACTTTACAACACAAGACACAACACAAGCCATTACAACACTAGACACACAAGCCACTTACAACACAAGACACACAACCAAGCCACTTATAACACTAGACACACAACACAAGCATCTTACAACACTTAGACACAAACACAACGCAAGACACACAACATAAGCCACTTACAACTAGACACACAACACAAGCCACTTATAACACTAGACCCCACAACACAAGCCACTTACAACACTAGACACACAACACAAGCAACACACAACAACATAAGCCACTTACAACACTAGACACACAACACAAGCCACTTATAACACTAAGAACACAACAAAAGCCACTTACAACACAAGACACACAACCAAACCCACTTACAACACTAGACACACAACACAAGCCACTTACAAACAAGACACACAACACAAGCCACTTATAACACTAGAAAACAACACAAGCCACTTACAACACAAGACACACAACACAAGCCACTTATAACACTAACACACAACACAAGCCACTTAACAACACTAGACACACAACACAAGCCACTTAAAACAACTAGACACACAACACAAGCCACTAAAAGGGACACACCACAAGCCACTTACAACACTAGACACAACACAGCCACTTACAAGACACAACACCAAGCCACTTATTAACACCTAGACACACAACACAACCCACTTACAAGGCAACAACACAAGCCACTTAACATAGACACACAACACAAGCCATTTAAACAAGACAACAACACAAGCCACTTACAACACTAGACACACAACACAAGCCACTTACAACATAGACACACAACACAAAGCCACTTACAAGGCACACAACACAAGCCACTTAAACACTAGACACACAACACAAGCCACTTAACACTAGACACACCAAACAAGCCACTTACAAGGACACACAACACAAGCCACTTACAACATAGACACCAACACAAGCCACTTACAAGACACAACACAAGCCACTTATAACACTAGACACACAACACAAGCCACTTACAAGGCACACAACACAAGCCACTTACAACACTAGACACACAACACAAGCCACTTACAAGACACACAACACAAGCCACTTACAACACTAGACACACAACCCACAAGCCACTTACAAAAAACACACAACACAAGCCACTTACAAGACACACAACACAAGCCACACCCAAACCACACTAGACACACAACACAAGCCACTTACAAGACACACAACACAAGCCACTTACAACACTAGACACACAACACAAGCCACTTACAAGACACACAACACAAGCCACTTATAACACAAGACTCGTACAGGTGGAAGATAAATATTAGAAACTCTGACCTTTGTTACCTCACGTCCACAAGTTATTTTCACACACATTATTATCCTAGGTTAACAAAGGTGCCCAACTCTCCAAAGGTGCCGCCTTATACCCTCCCCCCCCCGGGTGACAGACCTGACCACCAGTTGTCTAGTGTACAGTGACTCGACCCCCCCCCTCCATCCAACACTAAAGTGGCAGACACAACGTCATTCCAGGTAATTCCCTCGACTCTTGGGCCATGATGATGTCTGCTGATGTCTACTGTTGATGTCTGCTGGTTGATGTTTATTGTTGATGTCTACTGGTTCATGTTTCTATTGATGTCTGTTGGTTGATGTCTAATGTTGCCGATGTTGACATCTGCTGATGTCTACTGTTGATGTCTACTGGGTGATGTTTACTGCTGTCTGATGATGTCTACTGTTGCTGTCTACTCATGTCTGCTGGTTAAGGTAGGGTTCCCAGGGAACTGAGAAAGGTCACAACCTGACCTGAGAACGGCAAGTGAAAGCTGAGGTGCCGTTCACCAGTACTGCCTTCACACCGTTCACCAGTACTGCCTTCACACCGTTCACCAGTACTGTACTACCTTCACACCGTTCACCAGTACTGTACTACCTTCACACCGTTCACCAGTACTGCCTTCACACCGTTCACAGTACTGCCTTCCACACCGTTCACCAGTACTGTCTACCTTCACACCGTTCACCAGTACTGTACTACCTTCACACCGTTCACCAGTACTGTACTACCTTCACACCGTTCACCAGTACTGTACTACCTTCACACCGTTCACCACTACTGCCTTCACACCGTTCACCAGTACTGTCCTTCACACCGTTCACCAGTACTGTACTGCCTTCACACCGTTCACCAGTACTGTACTGCCTTCACACCGTTCACCAGTACTGTCTTCACACCGTTCACCAGTACTGTACTACCTTCACACCGTTCACCAGTACTGTACTACCTTCACACCGTTCACCAGTACTGTACTGCCTTCACACCGTTCACCAGTACTGTCTTCACACCGTTCACCAGTACTGTACTGCCTTCACACCGTTCACCAGTACTGCCTTCACACCGTTCACCAGTACTGTACTGCCTTCACACCGTTCACCAGTACTGCCTTCACACCGTTCACCAGTACTGCCTTCACACCGTTCACCAGTACTGCCTTCACACCGTTCACCAGTACTGCCTTCACACCGTTCACCAGTACTGCCTTCACACCGTTCACCAGTACTGTACTACCTTCACACCGTTCACCAGTACTACCTTCACACCGTTCACCAGTACTGCCTTCACACCGTTCACCAGTACTGCCTTCACACCGTTCACCAGTACTGTACTACCTTCACACCGTTCACCAGTACTGTACTGCCTTCACACCGTTCACCAGTACTGTACTGCCTTCACACCGTTCACCAGTACTGTACTGCCCTTCACACCGTTCACCAGTACTGTACTACCTTCACACCGTTCACCGTACTGTACTACCTTCACACCGTTCACAGTACTGTACTGCCTTCACACCGTTCACCAGTACTGTACACCTTCACACCGTTCACCCGTACTGTACTAAACCTTCACACCGTTCACCAGTACTGTACTGCCTTCACACCGTTCACCAGTACTGTACTACCTTCACACCGTTCACCAGTACTGTACTGCCTTCACACCGTTCACCAGTACTGTACTGCCTTCACACCGTTCACCAGTACTGTACTACCTTCACACCGTTCACCAGTACTGTACTGCCTTCACACCGTTCACCAGTACTGTACTGCCTTCACACCGTTCACCAGTACTGTACTCCTTCAAAACCGTTCACCAGTACTGTCTGCCTTCACACTGTTCACCAGTACGTACTGCCTTCACACCGTTCACCAGTACTGTACTGCCTTCACACCGTTCACCAGTACTGTACTGCCTTCACACCGTTCACCAGTACTGTACTGCCTTCACACCGTTCACCAGTACTGTACTGCCTTCACACCGTTCACCAGTACTGTACTGCCTTCACACCGTTCACCAGTACTGTACTGCCTTCACACCGTTCACAGTACTGTACTGCCTTCACACCGTTCACCAGTACTGTACTGCCTTCACACCGTTCACCAGTACTGTACTCCTTCACACCGTTCACCAGTACTGTACTGCCTTCACACCGTTCACCAGTACTGTACTACCTTCACACCGTTCACCAGTACTGTACTACCTTCACACCGTTCACCAGTACTGTACTGCCTTCACACCGTTCACCAGTACTGTACTGCCTTCACACCGTTCACCAGTACTGCCTTCACACCGTTCACCAGTACTGTACTGCCTTCACAACCGTTCACCAGTACTGTACTGCCTTCACACCGTTCACCAGTACTGTACTGCCTTCACACCGTTCACCAGTACTGTACTACCTTCACACCGTTCACCAGTACTGTACTACCTTCACACCGTTCACCAGTACTGTACTACCTTCACACCGTTCACCAGTACTGTATGCCTTCACACGTTCACCAGTACTGCCTTCACACCGTTCACCAGTACTGTACTGCCTTCACACCGTTCACCAGTACTGTACTGCCTTCACACCGTTCACCAGTACTGTACTGCCTTCACACCGTTCACCAGTACTGCCTTCACACCGTTCACCAGTACTGTACTACCTTCACACCGTTCACCAGTACTGTACTACCTTCACACCGTTCACCAGTACTGTACTGCCTTCACACCGTTCACCAGTACTGTACTGCCTTCACACCGTTCACCAGTACTGCCTTCACACCGTTCACCAGTACTGTACTACCTTCACACCGTTCACCAGTACTGTACTGCCTTCACACCGTTCACCAGTACTGTACTACCTTCACACCGTTCACCAGTACTGTACTACCTTCACACCGTTCACCAGTACTGTACTGCCTTCACACCGTTCACCAGTACTGTACTACCTTCACACCGTTCACCAGTACTGTACTGCCTTCACATCG